GAATGAGGGGAGAAGGGGCCAAGGACCAGGCCTGGGGGTTCCCAAGTTTGGCGGTCTGGCAGAGTAGGGCCAGCAAAGCGCTCTGCATGTTACCAGAGAAGCAGCAGAGCGTGTTACGAGCCCCCATGGGGAGCATCTCATGGAGGCAGGAGACCACTGCATCACACGCTGGTGACAGGTCAGAGCGCTGACCACATGCGGCCAGACCGTGCTGCTGGGAGCCCTGGCGGCTGGCTTTGGCAGAGCGGTGGAGGCTTGAGGACAGGAAGGGTGCCGGGCGAGGGAAGTCAGGGAGCACGACTCGGGGGGTCTACTCTAAGGTAAGCAGGAAACCGGGTGCGAGGGCGACACCCCTGCTGTGAGCGACAGAGGAGAGAGGGCAAGCCGAAGGCCAGGGGCGGGGAGCTGGCCTGGGCAGCTGGGGGTAGGCAGAGACCTCTGCGGACGCCGGCGGGGCAGGAGCCCTTCCAGGGCCGCGAAGACCGCAGGGTCGCTCACCACTGGGCATGAGCAGGTCAGTGGCGGTGAGCAGTGACAATGACCCAGGGAATGTGGTCCTGGTGCTGGGTGGTCCTAACGGGCCACCTGCCAGGTGTGGACGCCAGGTTCAAGTGACGTCAGCCAGCTTAGCTTTGTGTCAGCCTGTAGTCACACACGCCCAGGAAAAATATGATGTCCCTGCTCCCCATGAGGCCCGGCGGCCGGTCCCCAGCTCCTGGTCGCTCTCTGAGTCCCTAACCCAGACCGCACCAAGCTTCTCGTCTGGTTTTGGTTGTTATCATTATGATTAATCTTTTTCTAAAACTGCCGATATTTTGAGGGCAGGACCTCTGTCCATACTTTGTTACCCACTGACAGGACAGACAGGGCTAGGCTGGTGACAGTCATCAGACACCTGGCAGACGGCACAGCATACTGAAGACATGAGAAGCAGGGAGCACGTCCTTACCACGGCCGGGGAGGAAGAGCAGGCGACGTCCTTAGGATCTGAAACACCAAACACGGAACAGTGTGAACCAGGGCTGGCTGTTTCTTCCAACACAAGAACGTAAACCAAAACAAGGCACCCTCTGATGCTTTTACTAAATTAGCAACAATTTAAGAAAAAAGGCAATGCACGAGGCAGCACGTTTGGTGGGGTGAGGGCGCAGCTCGGCCACGCCCGTAAGAACCCACACGCACCCCTTCCCTCACTCGGGCCCCGTAACTGCCTGATCCCCACGCGCTGAAGCCGGGAGAGTACGAAACCAGCACCAAAAAACGCAAATCGTCACGAATATGAAGCCTGCTTTGCAATATGGAAAATAGTTTACAAATAAAAATAAGCAGAGCATAAGTACACTATGGTGACAAGCCGTGTTAAGATACATTTAAAGGATATAAGTATCAGAAGGAACTAGAAAAACATGACCAGTAGATCAGAGTAGCGGGGTTCTGAATAACATTTGGGATGAGTCATTTAATGTTATGGAATTAACTAGAAGTAGCACAAAACATCTACCTTGAAATAGAACAAAATAGAACAAAATGCCTTTTACCTAAATGCAAGGAGGTGTGAGAATAAAATTCATGTTTTACGGCAAGAAAAACGTACACGTAACAATGCTTCTCTGCCCTTTGGCATCCTCTGCACCGTGCATCGTGTATCCACATGAGGCATCAACCAAACCTCCCCCATGAGCAGGAATACCTGTGCAGCCAAGAGGAGCAACATTCTCCCAGCATCCACAGGACAACTCCTTAAAGGTAACATTCCTTCTTGGTCTTGCAAGGGACCACGTGACCCACCAGGATGCCACTTAGACCTGGATTATGTAAACTGTCAATAATCCCTCTGTCTCAAAAAACTCACATAACTGTGCCATGACTTCTAATGGGTGGAACGGTCCTCAGAGCTTTCTGAGATGCTCTTCCCGGGTTAGAATCCTCAAATGTGGCTCAAAGCTTTCCATTTCTTTCTTAGACCGACTGGTTAACTTTTTGTCGAGAGAGGGAAGGACATGTGGAAGCGAACCGAACCAGAAGCGAGGCTTTTTCCATCTTCGTACTTTAAGATCACGCTGGTGTGACCCGGGAACGAGAGCCGGGCTTAGGGCCATGAGTAGCCCTGGCAAGCAAACTCCACTCCTTAAGAATCTAGACAGCCGCCTTTTAACAGCTTTGCTCCTTCCCCATTACCCAGAACCCAGGTCTTTTAAAATAATTTTTGGTGAGACAGTTTAACCGCCCTGAAACACAAACCAAGCCACAGGGCTTTAAACCTCCCACAGTGGCGTTCCCTCCCGCGAGATACAGAGGGTGACACCGTGGAGGGGTCCCTGGACCACGTGTGCTCCTGGGCTGGAGGCTCCTCCCCGCTGCCCTCTGCGGAGGGTGGGCCTGGGGAGCCCTGATGGTCCCGATGGCCCTGGGGATGTGCAGTGACATCAGCAGTTCCCCAGCCCGTGGCTTTTCCCAGCTGTGCTGTGAGCCCCAGGGTCAGTCTTGATGGGGTGTGGCTGGTCCCCAGAACATGGCTTTTCCTGGGCTTTCACCTTGCAGGACATTAGTACCAGTGACCCTTGGCTGGGACACGTCTGAGGGCAGCTTCCCAGGCAGCCCTGGAGGGGCCTGTGGATGGGGTGCCCTGTCCCTTGGGCCCAGCCCCGGCAGGAAGGAGGAACAGGGCCGAGCCGGTCCCTTGCTGCTGGTCACGAGAAGGGGCGCTCCTGGGGTTTTCCCGCCCACCCTGCAGTAGGAGATTAGGGACCGGGAGGGAGCAGAAGTAAGCCACCGAGATGCACGTGGATCCGGTCTCTCCTCTCTTCAGCGTTCTGCCCTTGGACACAGGATTTGCTGGTCACTGCTTGCAGCTGGCTTTCATCATCACTCATACAGACGGCACCTCCTTGTTACCAGGAGGAGTACAGGTACCAATCCCCTCAGCAGAGAGGGCCCGGCGGTCTGATTCTCGTTCCGCCATGGAGGGTCTCTGTTAGAGCAACAGGCCTGGGCCTGCAGTGGACTCAGGCTGACAGGCGACGTCGGGCCCAGGGGGAGAGGCCTTGTTCACAAGGGCCCGGCTCGGGCTGAGCGAGGAGTAAGGGTGTCCGAGCCTGCGAACTGGCTTCTCTCCGTTCACTGAGACACTCGTGGACATGGGGCCCTGGGTGCCGGGTCCCAGCGTAGGAGGGTTAGGGGGCCACAGAAACGCCTCCTCCCGTGAGGCTGGCTGCAGAAGCTGCCCCCAGAGGGAAGTGTCAGAGGCACGGTCGGCGGGCGTCCTGTCCAAGTCGTGTGCGCAGAGCAGTGCCTCCAGAGGCCGAGCTCAAGAGGAAGACGTTCAGCAAGAAGGTGGAGAAACGCCAAGTCCGGAAGGTGCTCCCGGCCGCACAAGCTGGGCCCTGGTGAGCTGGGCGGAGGCCAGGCAAGGAGCGCAGCAGCAGCCGCGGGCGGTCGGACAAAGCCGGCCAGTCCCGGGGAGAGGTGACCGGCCCACGGCAGAGAGAGCGAGGACCAGGTGCCTGAGCGATGCTCGCGGGACACCAGAGAGCCCTGCCCCAGCCATGGGGACAGCGGGAGGGGGGCGCAGGGGCGAGGGCAGGAAAGGAGGCCCAGTGGGAGGAAATCTTTGGCGGCCTCATGAGGAAGGGGGGCACGGAACTCAACGGACGATCTTGCGCAACCCTGAACATGTTTACCTTGGACACCTAACGGCTAAAGGCTAAGACTCCAGGTGAAGAGAACCAGCACGGCCCAGGGGAATGCGATGGGCTGAGGGAGGACGGGAGAACGGCCTCTGTGGCCCGGACTTCAGCCCACAGCGCCCTCCCCGCGGCCCGCGGCCCCCCAGGGCCCCGTCCGTCCTCAGTGCCCGCTGAGGCCGCCTCCCCACAGGCCAAGAGGGGGCACGAGTGCTCATCTGTCCCCTGAGTCAGTACCAGTACATCGCCCAGGAACACCTTACGGGGCTGGGGGAAGCTGAGCGAGCGCATCTCATCCCAGACTGGGCCGGGGCGGGGGTGGGGCTGGGGGGCAGGGAGGCAGAGCCCCACGGTCACCATGGAAACAGGAGAGGGGGTGAGAGGATGTCCAGCGGTGGGAAAGCAGCTCCAGGAGAGCCCCCCAGCCTCGCCCGCCCCCTTGGAAGCTACAGGAGCGGCAGCTCGGTGCAGAGGATGCTCTCATTTTATTATAAACGACCAAACCAGGGCTTCCGCATTCTTGGAAATCCTGCCCCGCCCAGGATGACTGAGCTGAATGGTGTTGGCGCTGAGAGCCCTGGCCAGGCCAGCAAACAAGCTCCCGTCTACTGCCATGCCCTCCGCTCGTTGTCACTCCGCCCCTTTCCCCAGAGCCGCCCCTTTATCAGTTGAGGATGAGAATAAAAGCCACCGTGGACTCTGGACCTCGGGCCGAAGGCACCTGGGGGGGTGGGTAGAAGATCTTTCCTGGTAGGGCAGGTGACGGTGTGGAAGCAGCCCCTGGAGAGTCCAGGTGACATGACGATCCTTCCTGGAACTCCGGTGACACACGAGCGACAGTCGATGCCACAGGTCGGCACATCGGCAGGGAAGTCACAATATCCACCCGCCCCCCCGCCCCCCGCGCCCCCCGCGCCCCCATCTGTTTAACGATTCACTTGTTTGGGCCATTTCGAGATGTTGCTAAAAGCTTACTGGGCCCCTGGAGAAAAGAGTGAAGATGGGAGCTGAGCAACCCCGTGCCCTCTGCTCACAACGGGGGGGGGGGGCGTCTGATTCCTCATCTAACCTTAGCTTCCTTCCTCACTGACAGCACGACGCTGGCCTGAGAGCCTCACGTGTGCTCCACTAAATGGCGGTTATTTTAAAAATGAAAAGGTTAGCATTAGCAACCAGCAAAAAGAAGTGAGAAACTTCACAGCGCCTTAACCTTTTGGATGATAAAACCGGCAACTCTGAACGCAAAGCTGAAACCACAGTTGATGCTTCCCAGGGATGAGGTCATCTGACTCCGGAGCATCCCTACCTGGGAGCTGACAGTGGGAGCTATCTAGTGCCATATGATCTTATTTTGCTTTAAGCCAAATCAAAGAGGCAAACGCGAAATACAACTCATCAGAATAGCTCGTGGGATTAGATCACCCTGACGTGTCACAGCTAAAGCAGCACCTGCTTCTCTAACATTAGTGTAATTGTTAGCAATGCTTGTCCTGCAGATTTCTATTTAAAAAATTAATTTAAAATTCAATTAAAACAGAAGTCTGGGATTGAGTCTAGGATGGAACAAAGGCTTGGATTTTCTGGTACAACACTACCTAATTAAGGTATATGATCTTAAGTCATGTCATGGTTTTAAAACACTGACAAGGCTATAGCTTATCAGAAGGCAAACAAGCTGGTGAGGCACATTTCGGTTTGTGGCAGCAGGACTGGCGTGAGCAGGTGCAGCCACGTGGGCTGGGCAGCGAGCAACGTGGCAGAAGACCACGCATGCCCAGTGCCGTGGGGCCAGAGGACAAGGTGGGAGGAGTTTCGACACTGGTTACTCCAGAAATCAGGAAACAGCAGAAAATCCAGCAAGACCAGGAGAGCAACGGCTCATCAGGGAAGCCTATACCTAAGAAGGAAGTCTTCCTGGCAAGCGAGAGCTGGACAACCCCATCCCTGCCTGGGACGAAGGAGCAGCAGCCTCTTCTCCTAAACTCGCCCCCCCACCCCCACCCCGCACAGCCCTCCCGGGGAGAGGTCATCATCCACCGGTACTTACGTTCAATGAGAAAGAGAAAGCACACTATCCCCATGGCTGCCACGATGGCCCCAGGCACGACGAAGGACAGGCCCCAGCATGTGGACACCCAGTAGCCAGCGATCAAGGACCCCAGAATGTTGCCCACAGAAGTGTGGGAATTCCAGACTCCCATAATCAAACCTCGCCTGCAACACAGCAAAACACAAGGTGGCAAATGATGTCTCGGGGCTTACGTGGATCAGTACGTGAGGTTACAACAGTGACTGCACAGCGTAAGAGCTGGTGTAGAAATAAATAGGCAGTGCGACACACCACCTCTGCAAGGCTTGGGACCAGGGGTGTTTACAAGAGGACAGTATCTTCACTTACCTCCGGCTGCATAATTCCATCTCTCTATGATTAAAAGAAGAGGCCTTTTCCTAGAACTCTTGGAAGGCCCCAAATTTAAATTTGTGCCTTTGCAATCTAAATACAATCATTTGATGAAATATCCCATCAACCAAAGTCCATGCTGAAGAACCTGCCAGATGGACGAGGCTAAATAAGCCTGGAGGAGTGAGTTTCCTGTTTTAGTTTTTCCCCATCTTGTCCGGCATCTTCGACCACTTCCTAACTGCGGGCCCGGCCGTGTTGCCTGTCACACAGACGTTACGATGGAATCTGACCGCGGTGAGGTCACCAGAGGCTGGGTACGGCTCTGCTACCAGGCCCTGGGTGACCTGGACAGGTGACACTTCCCTGTGCCTTTCAGTTCTGTGAAATTGTAGCTTCTGCTTCGAAAGGCCTGGGGCAAGGCCCTGACTGCATTTCTCCCAGCTTCCCAGGAGGCCAGGTGAGGCCCGGGCTGCTGGCTGGCTACGCAGATGGCCCAGACTCCACCCTGCCCACAACGCGGGGTGGGGGGCGGGGCATGTCCTGAAACTGAGGCCCGCCTGAATTTTAGACCCTCAAGACCCAGAGGTTTCAGTCATCTTATTTCATACAGTAGACTGATGTGTCTTTTTCTGTAATGAATCTAAAGAAAATCTAAACATAAAGCGGTCTGGTTTTCATCAGAATCTTCTGAAAACGACGCTGCTGGAAGCAGGGCTGCCTTCCTTACCTCCCTTTTCCAAACCAGTTGCCGAGGCAGGTGACGACGCTGGGCCAGCCGGTGGTCTGTACCAGTCCGTTGACGATCTGTGACAGAGGGCAAAGGAAGAGCCTGCTGAGGGGGGACACCCACACCCGGGAGCCTGGCCTCAGGGGTTTGGGCGCCCAGCGGGGACTCTCACAAAAGGAAGGGGCAGAACCCGATTCGATGTGAGCCTCGACAGCCAGACGTGTATTTTAACAATATACGCATATATCTTACCATGAGAGTTGTAAGTGCCTATTGTGAAAATTTTAGACTAAGTAGAGAAAAAAAAAGAAAAGAAAATCTCTTGCTCGGAGAGGAACTACTGTCAACAGCTTGGGGCCAAGCTGTCCATTCTCTTTCCAAAGCTAAAACTTAATGCAAAGAGAAAAACCCTCTCCTTTTTATAGAAGTGTGATGATACCATAAGGGTGGCTTGTAAATTGTAAATTGTAAATTGTTTTTCCTTCTTACATCACGAAGAAGGTACTGTTGCTAACCACCGAAGGGAGCAGGGCCTCGCCCCAGCGCCTAGAGCAGGGCCTCGCCCCAGCGCCTAGAGAAGCGATTTCTCCAACTTGCCAAGAGTGCCCTGAGCTTTTGTTTGAAGAAGGGATTTAGGAAGTGTATCAGCAACTGGCTCTGCTGTAGTCTCAGGGGCCTCAGGGGCAGCCTCCTCCAACTGCCGCCGGGAAGGACCAGCCTCCTCCAACTGCCCCCGGGAAGGACCAGGCTCCAGAGGCTGACTGGGAGCCGCTGGTCCGGCCTCAGGGCCAGCCAGGCTCAGCCTTCCCTCCAGGAACGTGCTGGGACTCTGGGAAATAGGTTTTTTCCTTCTCTCCGATTTTCTGTATCACCATAAAGTGTGCATCGCTTTGGTAATTACAACAGCCAAACTCTTTCAAGTCCTATGGTGAAAATTTTAAAAGCAAATTACATACGATTGGCCCTGATGACCTTTGCCACATCTCCCTGGGCTGTGTCTGGAGAGCCTCGGAAGCTGAGCATCATTGTTTCAAGTCATTTTCCATTTCTAGCCAATATTATCCACAGGGCTGTGGGGAGGGGCAGAGCCAAGAGTTCCGGGAAGCACTGAGCCCCGGTGGAAGGGCCGGGTCACATGCTTGTCTGGCCCTCACTCCCCTGCAGCACCCTTAGGCCCTCGCCTTTCCCCGCCCCCTCCACCGCCCGCCCCCGCTGACTGTCCCTGACAATCCCCAAGTCCCCTCAACCTCCTCCCCTCACCACACTCCTCATCCCCCCAACCCCAGAGCGGTCAAGTCTGACACAAGACAGAACATCTCAAATGCACCCAAATTAAGGCAGAAGGACTGAGAAGGGCTTCATGCTTCAATCCCCCTGCTGGGGTACCGACAAACAGGATTCTTTAGGCGGCAACTCCTGAAACTAAGAAACACTTCACGGCTGCTGGAATTTCAGAGCAGAGGAGAGAAAAGGGGCTGGATGTGCCAGAGCTGACCCTGACCTCAGCCAGGACGCAGTTCTGCGCCCACTCCCACCACCTGCCATGTTCTCTCTTGGCAGAGCCTGGGACCCGTGACATTAACACCCCGTCTGGTTCATCATGGAAATCCCATACATGGTGAACCGTGGACCAGACCTTACCTGGGTCACCACGTAGAATCCCAAACTGTGGATGTTGTAGAAATACCCTACCCCAAACAGGGCAGTAAAAGCACCACTGGCCACCATTCCGAAAGTTAGGTAATACCTAATTGGCAGGCGTTCCCCTATTATGCCACTGAGGACAGAGAAAAAAGAAAGACAAATATGAGAAAACAAACACACCCATAATGTAAACGACCCAGCGATTCCTTTCTGGATGCTTTCATGCTCTGAGCTTTTAGAACTTGAAAGCACTCCAATTTCCAGTAAATTTTAATCACAATTATCTTTCAATGGAGCATTTATTAACCAGCAACTGGCAACACCGTTTAAGACTTTCTATTTCTAACAAAAGTCACTGTCAAATAATAAAACTGAAACACTCTGACATATATGATGCTTGTCAATTAAAAAAACAAAACCAAAAACTTGTCCTGCTAGCTAATCCTGTTTCATATAAACAACAGCCAGTGAACGTATAGAGTATTTTTAAGACGTCAACTGTCGAACTGTAGACAAATATGAAAAGGGGTCACCTGTGACCTTGAGCATGTCTCTTGGCCCTCGGGCTGGCATTAAGCCGCTGCATCAGCGGCCAGGCCAGAGGCGCTCTTGCCACAAGCACTGCAATCTGGTTTAAAGACGGAGCCTTTTCCTTAAGGTAAAGTGTGAAACGTGGGGCAAAGCCTCCATGCTCCCTTTGAACAGCAAATGATGCCATAAAGAGCTAATCTCTCTGGAGAAATGCTTCCTAGAGCTGCCTGGGTGCTCCAACGAGATAAATTCGGTTAAGTGCCTGGCAGGTAGTGGGTGCCCAATCAAACAGCTCCAGTGCTGCTGGGGAGGGTGAAAATCTCCAGTTTCATACTGGGACATACATTCAACAGGCCTTTACCACCATCACTCCTCACTACCCAATGCCATATGAAATACGTCCTTTACTGCCTTGTAGGACATGTCACTATGGAACAGCTTGTCACTGTGACTTCTTAAGTGAATAAAGAGCTGGAGCACAATCACAAACGACTGTGAGCCTTTTGCAATCTTTATGTACACTCTGTGGGTCTCGTTTTCTTCCATGTAATCATTCTAGGAGTCAGATAAATACGAAATGTAATGAAGGATGACACTGCCTGCCTGCCTGCCTGCCTGTGAACAGTACTCTGGGAACCGGCTCCAAAATTCTGGTCTTCCGTCTCAAGAACAAATACCCCAGAGAGATCTTCCTTCAGAATTAACCAAAGAAAAAAAAAGATCAACCTAGTATCACGCAAATGACCTATTAAACAGGAAAGCAGAGGAAGAAATTTAAAATTGTAAACAGCATTCAGGTCAAATTTTAAGCTGAGCAGAAACTGATCACATACAAACTCGAGAGCGTTCGAGAGCTAAAGGAATTATCTACCTCATCCTGTTCACTTCAGAGAAGAGGGAACATGTCCCACAGGAGCTGGCTGACCTGCCCAAGGTCACGGAGTAAGTGCCAGAGTCAGATGGGCCTCCTGCAAGCTAGTGCCATTGGCTGGGGCTTACAAATGTCCTCTAGTCTTGCTAGACAATACTGGGACTCAATTTGGTCTCTATTTTCAAGTTTTAAAGAAAAGGCCTAATGGAATGGACAGCATTCCACGTCGTATCAGGCTCCTACGGGTAATAAAGGCCACGCCACACCTGCTTGAGCCTGCCAGCAATGACCTGGGTCAGCGAAGGTGCCAGCAATGACCTGGGTTAGCGAAGGTGCCACCACATCTGAGTTATCTGCTACACTAACACCATCCATCTCACTAGCAATGTGTCATGATGCCACTAAGAAACCACGCAAGGAAGCAGGGTACCCCCTCATCCCCGTGCCGAGTCCACTGTGGATTTCACATTAGGTTATTATGAAATAAATAATTCTATTTCATAATAAAATAAAATTATTTAATAAGAACCTTCGTTGGCGAGCTGCACGAAGAATGATCTTTGCCAATAAATAAGCAATAATAAAACCACTTTATTCAAACCAGGTTTCTCAGCCTCAGCACCCTTGGCATGTTGGGCCGGGTAATTCTTTGTGGTGAGGGGCTGTCCTGTGTCCTGTAGCAAACTTAGCAGCACCCCCAGTCTCTGCCCACTAGATGCCAGTAGCACCCCCTTCTCCAGCTGAGACGACCAAAACTATCTCCAGATATTGCTAAATGCTTCCTAGCAGACAACATCACTCCCAGCTGAGAACCACCTTTAACTAGTGTTTTCTGGTAACTGAGAAAAACACACTCCAACCTTGGGGTCTTTTTATATTATTGATTATTGGTGTCCAGTAAAACTGCGGTTTTTAGAACATAAATATTAGACCGCAGGATGGAATACGGCTGGCAGCCTGGCTGCGGCCCACGCCCTAAGGCGCCTGAGGCTTACGCCATCCTTCTCTGCAGCTGGGCTCCCGTTCTGTGCTGCATCTGTATTATTCATTCCGCACTTGGACAAGCCCTGCAGCTCTATGCAGATGCGCAAGTTCAACAAAGGGGTGACAGCCGCTCCATCAGCAGAAACCGTCTGTCTGGGTACCAGACACCCGGATGGTCCTGAGCTGGGGAGGGGGTCCAGGTCTCGGTGATAACACAGTCTGGGTGGATCTCAGGGAAAAAAGGTAAACATTTACAGGGATTCCAGGGATTCCCAAAGCTCGAAAACTCCGTGTCTCTGAACAAAGCCCTCTTTGGACTAAAGGGCTTAGTCCCTATAAGTTTCGTTTTGTTTTTTCTCTTAAACCTGGCTGGACTGACACAATAGCAGTTTTTAACCGGCCAGCTGCATGTCCTGTTATTACCCACTAATATTTACCACCTCCCCAGGCCAATGCAGAACTGGATCAAGAATGGGCTGACGATCGTATGTAACAGACACTGGGAACACAGCACGGGCCAGGCCCTGTTCTGAGCATTCTGCACGTATTAACTCATTTAAACCTCACCACACTCCTGTGAGTTACGAACTACTGTTCCCCCCATTTTGCAAAGGGGAAACTGAGGCCCAAGGAGGTGCGGTAACTCGTCCAAAGCCACCCAAGCGGGCAGTCAAGCCGGGATCAAATCCCAGCAACGTGCCTCTGGGGTCCACACCTCCCACCGCCAGGCAGGACGGCCTCTGGCACTCAGGGGAGGCTCTGTTCCGGCCTAGCGGAGCATCCAGGTGGACACGCCAAGCACCCGCTGTGTGAACTGCTCTGATGCCAGGCGGCATTAGGAAAGAGACGGCGGCCCCTGAAACCAGAGAAGAGGAGGCTCTGCCATGCTCACTGGGTGGGGAGCTGCCAGGGCCCTGCTCCTGAGTGACCGGGTCCCGGCAGGGCTCATGGTGCATCCAACCCCGGGGCCAGGAAAGCCGTCCGAGGACAGTCTGCCCGACCTGCAGGACACCCGGGCCGTGTGCTGGCTTCCACCTCACCCTTGCCTCTGAGGAGAGACTGGAGGACCAGCCACCTGCGGGCGGGGCCGCGTCTTCAGCGTACCTCAGCTGCGCTCTGCACCCAGCGGACCACCTGGGTCTTGCAGTCTTAGCCAGACCTACCTCAGGTACATGCCAACAGCATACGCACACAGGAAGGAGTAGTCCAGGGCGCCGAGCAGCTGCTGGAAGTTGTCCTGATCTACATGGGGCGAAAAGCAACAGGAAAAGGAGAGTATTGTTTACTTTTCACTAAACACCAATTTATGTCCAGGAGAGGTACAATGACATACGAGACCTCTGCTCTCTACGTCTGGGCGGCGTCCTCAGAAGGGAACACGGAAAATACAGCAACTGGAAATCAAGTCACCATGTTTCCAATAACCGCTACATAAACATTACTCCCATCAGGTCAAATCCTCATCGCTGGCGGTGAGCTTGTGGGTTCTGTTCTGTTTCACATGTTACACCGGCTTTGGTTCGGGCGCCCCAGGCCAGCCCCACACCACAGCTCTGAGATTGCTCTCTTCTTTCCACCCACAGCTTACGCTCTGTAAGTCCTAACTTCCAGCTTGGACAAACGCGACCTAAAGATGACCTGCAGCAGATCTGACCACCGAGCGACACCTCTGCACACGGGCACGGGAAACGTGCAGCAGCTGAAGGTGCGAGGCCGGTTTGCTGGGAGGAGAGGTTAGTTTGCACCTGGAGGCGCAGCTGCATCTGACAGCATCGTCACCGCTGCTGAGATCAGCCAGCCGGCTCGGGGACTGCCACCTGTGGAGGAGGCCCGCAGGGATGGCCAGCTTCAGCCACGGGACGAAAGCAGGGGCACGGACAGAGAACTCACCAAATGGGGCCCAGCCACAGTCGGTCCTGTTGTCTGGGAGCTGGTGAGCCGGGGTGTCCCCGGCTTTTGGGCTCTGGCTGTTGAATCCGACCTCCCCCTCATATGAAGCCGTGCAGTGGCTGTGCAGCTCACCCTGGGACATCCATGGGGAGGACAGAAGCCAGAGAGAGAGAGTGCACTCAGGTGGGGCTCAGCCGCCCCTCTCCTTACAGCTGTCCTAGGGTGACTGCGCTCTAGGGGGATACGGCACCTCTGGGGCGGTGTGTCTAGGGGACCCACAGAGTGCCTGCCAACGAGGACGGTTTCTCGAGCTCCCTAGCGGCCGTCCCCTCCTGAGTGCAGACACAGCCAACACAGCCTGTACCGGGCCACCCAGAGACGACTGCTCAGAGCAGCCAGGCAGCATGGGGGCCCACCTGCCCAGAACGGAAGAATGGATTCACCCTGCTGGATTTATATCATTGACTACAAGTTACAGGTCCACACAAGGACGAGGATGAATCTCAAAACAAAATAAGCCCGACACAAAGGAACACAAATGGGGGGACTCTGTTTACGAAGCTCAGGAGGAGGGAAATGAATCAGTCCAGGTGACATTCATCACCTAGAGAAGGGCAACAGTGACAGGGCCCAGGCCTCAACCTGGGTGATGATTTCCCGGTGAGCATGTAAATATTTGCCAGGCTAGACACCGCAGATCTGTGCACTTTACTATGTGCAAATCACATGTCAACCCCCGCCCCCTAAAACTAGCTCAAGGTGCTCCTTAAGGAGGCATCCACCCTTCCTGAAAAGCGCCACAGGGCAGCCGGGGCCGTCCTGTCATGGGGACCTGAGTAACAGGTGACTTGTTCCTTAAAACACAAGGGGCAGCAGACAGGACTCCATGCGCCTGCGGTGCCACCTGGGGGTCACACGTGTCCCCTCCCAGGTGGCCCCCGGCTCCCACTTCTCCCCTGCTGGGCGCTTTCTGGGGTTTCCGCTACACGGGGCTCGGATGAACCAATCCATCAGGTGTGAGCGAGGGCAGAAAGGAGGCGTCCTCAAGGTCAAGGAGGTGGCCCTCAGGGGGAGCAGAGGTCCTGAAGGGGCGTCCTTTAGTGAGCTGAGACCTGAGAGAGGCTGGGCCGGGGGGGGGCTGTGGGGAAGGCTGGCCCCGGAAGGAGCATCTACCCCGGGGTCAAGACACAGGGCAGCGGGCAGGGAGCTGCACCCCAGTCCACCAGGTAGGGGGGCAGCCAGGAGGCCTGTCCACCCCTCTTCAGGAGGGGGGTCACTGAAGAGGCTGATCTCCTTTAAAAGGCCGCCTTGCTAGGGCTGTGGTCAGCCACTGCGGAACACCTGATTTTACATGGACACACGCCCCCGAGACCTGGCCTGGCACACGGGACCCCGCCACTCTGTGGTCACGTGGCTTTGTCATCATCGCTGGGCCGCTCTGCTGTAATTTAAACACAAGGTTCCGCTAAAACTAGCCAAGGTTCCGCTTTCCAAACTCAAAGTAACACTTTGCAGATAGCTTTCCTCGGCCGAACTCACACTCCCCAGTGGTGGAGGGCGGGCGCTGTCATCCTCGGAGCCCCTCCCCTACCCGCCTGAGAAACTGTGGACTGTGGACGTGGCTGTGAATTTGGGAGGGGGCCGCGGGGGAGCCCTGCCTTTCTGCATAAAGCTGGATTTCCAGCACCTCCCCACCCGCCTGGTGTGATCATTTCCTTCTCCTCTTTGCCCTCAGAAGTCAGGTGTGTCCGCCCACCTTTCTCTGCTGCTTCTCTTGGAAGCCAGCCGGGCCCAGAGGCACCACTGATGCTGTCTATTCACCTTTCAATAAGGGAGCCACAGGCAGGACGCAAGGACCCCCATGGGCTGAGGGGGACCCTCGAGCGGGGCTGGCGTGGGGTTCCTAACACATGCCTTACACGGAAGCCCGGGAAGAGGACCGTTATGGACGCGGCCCCCACTGGCAGGTCCACATCCTCCTTCACCATCCACGGGGGATATAAAGGATTGGAAAGCATCCCTTTTTGTTGCATAAACAAGCAGAAGAGGTTTTCTGTTTTTGTCCCGGGATGAGAGGTGCCGGTCAGGGACACGGGCTCCGAGCCGGGATCCTGGTGCTGCTGTCCCGGTTTCCAACCTCGGCCGACTCACGGGGACTCGCCACGGCCCCTTAAGAAGCCGGCACAGCGCGGCCCATCGGCGCTGCTGTAAAGACGAGCATGTGGAGGTGTGTGCAGAGAGCTCCTCTCCGGGTCCCTCGCCCAGAAAGGCTCAGCGACTGGCAGCTGTGCGTTTGGGGTCCACCCACACGGGGCACCCCAGGGCCTCCAGCTGGCCCTAATGTCATTCAGCTCCCTTCTCTCCCCAGCCCTCCTCCTTCATGTGAGAAATGCAATCTCCAGCCCACCCCGCTGAGAAGCTGAAGCAAAAGCAATAAAAGGTTTGACATTACTTGAGCATAAAGAGCTCTGAGGATATTTAAATGACCACATTAGCTTTTAATAAGACTCTGCCGTATTTTAACTTTTCAATGAACTTTATTCCCCAAACCTGGTGTTTGCAGGAAAATTAAGGATTAATGAAACCAAGATAAACTTAGTTTGTCAGAAAGAAAACTCCCCAGGTGAACTGATTACCAGGTTATAAAATCATTTTGGGGGTGGGGAGCTAGTCCTTTGCTTTCATAAAAGCAGTCTCCTTTGCAAAATTCTTACACATGTGCCTTTCAACAGATAACACATAAAATTAATCAAAATACACCAGGCAGTGATTAAAAGCCGATCAATCCAAAGACAGTGTGGCAGCCGAGAAATACGGTTGTGAAACGCCAAGGGGGGAAGAGCAGAATGGAACATTCCAGGTGCATGGGGCTCCTAAGTGTTTAGAAATGTCTGTGTAATACACAAAGGAACGGCAACAACACAATAAACCGCAAGACGCCAGAGTGACTGGAAGGTGGGCAGGGGGTGGGGT